CTACTATGTGTTGCATGAGTTTTTAAGCTGAAGGAGACTGTTTTGTGTTTGTAAAGGGAGGTTCCAGGAGGTATCTATAAAATACTCAGGGAATACTTTTTTCAATTTTGCTTTCTTCTAGCCATTCTGAGGTTATATCATAGTACCACACCCTGCATGTGGGGCAGAGACATTGACTTCTGGTTGTTTCAGTTCAGTCACTAAACCCTAGCATGTACTCCCATATGTACCTCCGTATTTCATACATGTCTGTGTGTTTCATCAAGGTCTTAGAGACCTTAAAAACATCTGTAGCCACAGTTTTCAAATCACATGCTGCTTTAATAATCTTTGGAGACATTTATAACACCATCCCTATACCATCTTCTTTAAGCCACCATTAAAAAAGGACTTTGCAGAAATCTTGAAGAACTCTATGTAGCAGATCAGTTCGGTGTAGCAACCCACAACTTTCAGCTTTGCACTTGATAAGACTGCCTGGCAACTGCTTGGTGCTTTCTTGCATTGCATTACTTTTGGTGCTACTTTTTGATAACCATTGGAAGACTTAAGGGAGCTTACAAGAAGTTATTCATGTTGTGAGTAGCTTAGTCACTGATCACGTGATATCAGTGCTCTGTGATTCACTTCTGATTAATTTCAAATTGTGTGCTAGGTGATAAGAGTTGGAACCTGCTTATGAAATAAAGGCCTTGTAGACCTAGAAAAGTTGACTTCTTTCTTGGAAAATTCAGTTCATTTAAGACATCCTTGGCATTCTTCCTGGTGCCTTATCATTGCACTTATGAGTGGAAAGGTCTTGGTACAACAATCTTGTCTTTTGAGCATTTTCTTTCTGTTAAGTATATTTACCACAGGCTTGGTGGCTATTACGACCTGGTGAAAAGCAGGCAGTTCGCTCTTAAAGCCTTGCTTATTGGCTTTTGAATACTTTGATTCTTTCAACTATTCTAGGAACAAGTGATACTTCAGTTTTTTCTAAATCACATTTACAAGGGAGCCACCAATTGGATCATGCAATAGAGTGGCTGGTGGGCAGAATAGGATGTTCTTAGCCTTGTGTGTTCTCAGTCTCGCATATGTAATGGAACTTTTGTAATTGTAGTTTTTAGTGGCTAAGTGCTACTACATAGATAATAAAATAATTAGCCCTAAATGTCTTTGTGCTTTCACTCATGTAGTTAAATACTGGAAAAGTATATTCAGCTCTGGCTTCCTTGCTTCTTTCAGAGAATATTTATTAAAATATCTTAGAACAGTAAGGGCATTGCAGGAGGAAAAGCATGTAACCAGTGGGTTATTTATATTTTGCTGCAAAGAAATAAAGCTAAGGCTTATGCAGTATTTTGCAGCTTTCTTTAAGGTAAATTGAAACACACCCATTTCACTTTATTTAGTATTCACTTAGTGGTTTTTGCTCAGCGGGGTGTGTGGTTAGAAACAGGTATACAAACGGAAATGAAAATGAGTCTCAAAGTTTTAAAACAAACAGCTGGAGGCTCAAGAGAATGCTGCAGAGGCATTCAGAGACACTCCTGCAACACAGTCAGAAAAGCCCTCTTATTGGCTCCGCCATTTGCACAAAGAGAGTTAACCATAACTTGTTACTTCCTTACACACAGCTATGTTTAGCAGGTTAGCTCTTCAAAAAGAAGTGACCTAGTGGTCAGAGATGCTAAACACCCAGTGACAGTTCTGAAACCAAAACTGAGCTGGAGTCTCTTCTCACCTAAAGCCCCTTTTACCCAGTGTATTACTCCATGGATTTTTTTGAATTACAATTTTGTGAAATACGAATGAAAGGGGAACCAGACTCACTATTTTTATTTTTAGTAACATTTGCTGCATCATGGTGTATGCACTTGAAAAGTGCTTCCTTTTAAAATTGGGCAGGAAGATGACATTAAATATTTGATACTGCATGTGTTTGTAAAATTGTGGACTGCTACAGTTCCATACAGGTTTGCTGTTCAGTGCTGAACCGTACTGGGAACCATAAGATGTTTTGCTGCATAGTGTTTGTTTCATTTTTTAAACCATCACTAATACAATGTTTTTCTTTGTGGAGGTGAGCCTTTTAGCTGGGTAAGAGAATGGATAACACAAAACTTAGTACTGCTTTAATGTGTGCAAAATAATTGCATGTTGTTGTAATGAATTTTATCTCTGTTGTGAGATAATTAGGTTTGTATCTTGTGAAGCATAAATATGCTTTTATTATGCAAGAAAATACCATAAGTGTATTGACCTGATCTCTAATAGTAGGCAGAACATACTGGCTTTCTCTGCATTTTTGTAAAATGGAAAAGATGCCTTCTAGAGGACAGAAATTCAGTCTGGAACCTGGTACCCAGTGGTACCTGTATTACGTCATGGTAGAGGATTTTGGAATGCACACAGAGGAGAAACTGCTAGGAGAAAGAGTTATTTTCTGTCTTTGTCAGCTGGAGATGATCTATATTGAGCACTTCTGAAAAGCTGGTGATTTAATTACAGCTGTATATACTTAATACTATGTGTGCACATAACCATTTGGCTTCCAAGTTAAGCATATATTGAACTGCTTTTCTGATTAAACAAGAGCTGTTGGATGGAGGCTCTGGCAGAACACCAAGTTTTGTAAAATGGATGGAAATTGATACAGGCCTCTCTGTGCAGGCCTGAAACAATTTTACTCTTCCTGAAGACACTGTAGAAGTAAAAATGCCAAATACTAAGGGCCTTAATAAATATTGATTCCTGATGTCGCAGCCTTCCTCTGCAAATTTCTCATTTCTCTGACTGATAACTTTTGCTGTTTTGCCCTTAGTGCACCTGCTGTAATACCTAGGCAGTTTATATCTCAGAAGGATTCTTTAGGCAATGAATGAAATTATGTGAGAACACAAACAAGGAATGCGTAAACTTCAGTTCATGCTCAGTTCATCAAACTGAGAACTTGTGGTGTAAATCAAAAGGCAGCTCAAGAACTTTTAGTTACTTGGGGTCTATACTCTCTCATTTATGGGGCTGTAGGACAGGCAGACTTTCCCCTTGCCCGTATCACTGTAGGTAGAATTGCTCCTTACAATTTAAGTGTAACTACAGAAGGTAGATTCAGAAAATTGTGTCTCATGTTCAGTGTTGAACATCACCAGATGCATAAAGTTCTCATTCTGGGCTTAATAATGCTGAGTGGATTGCTGCATGTTCACATGGGGTCTGCCATAATCTACTGATGAGGACTTTTGTGCTTCTCTTGCCTGAAAGTCTGGCTGTAGTAAGATACTTCAAGACTTTTTGTTGTATTACTACACCAGGTATATGATAACCAGCACATCCTCTGCTTTCAGAGCTTCAGTCAGCTAAAACAGTAACTTTACTTGTAAACTACAGATCTAGGGCATTCTGAGTCACCTTCCTACCAAACTACATCTATTTTGTATGAAATAGAGAGAGCCTGTCTGCCAGCCTGAACTAAATTTGATGGAAAGATAGGAATCTCAGAGAATTGCTTGTATAGAAGAGACATCCAGATTGGTGCCCACATTGGTGTAGGGGCAGCTGTGTGAGCCCAGCATTGGTTTGATTTGATGTCTGACCAGTCTGCCTGGATTCAACTACAGCAGAGGCATGAGTGAGGAGTTACGGCATTGTTGTGTGGAAGAGAAGGAACAGACTTTCAGGGAGAGTATAGTGATAGAGGGATTAATAGGACCATTGTGGAATGAAGATCAGAGAAGACAGATCTAGAGGAAATCGGGCTTTATTTGTGCTACTAAAGATCCAATGTATTGTTCCAAAGGAAAGTCCTGGGCCCTAGGTACTCTCTTCACATTTGGTACCTTCCTGTAGAAGGGCATGGAAGCTCTTGCTCAGTGACTAACATGGATTATATTGTTTTGCAAGTGGGTTAAGTTTAATGTTCCTTTTTGGGCTTGTGCAATTTAAAAATGTTTTTTCTTCCCCTCTAGTAATAGATGCCATTTCACACGCTGCAAATCTGCTGTTTCACCTGCCTCTTCTATTTTGGCTTATTATGCATTGCTTCTGTATGTTGTTCCTGTTATTTCTATTTTACATGATAACTACATTTATCCTCATAGAGGACAATGTATTTAAAATTATTCAAAAAGGTAAATTTTCTTTTGTGTTTGAAAGGGTGTCTAATTCCATTTCAAGCTGCCTAGGTTCTCTCATGGCAGGCTACAGAAAACCATCTTCTGTTAATATTTACAAACACTTTCACTGCTGTTTGTTACAGAAATGGAAACTTTTAAAATGTTTTGCTACATTTGATGTCCTTGATTTTTTTTCTGAATATGGGAAAAAAAAACCCCACAAGACCCAGAAGATAGATGTAGTCTAAAAACATTATTCAAGTAAAATTCTTATAATGCATAATTCAAGGAAATGTGTTGAGATGTTTAGGTCCACCACTGGGAGTATGCATAGGTTAACCTCTGGGCTTCTGCATATGTTATGTCTCGTTCCATGCACATTTACGTATAGGTCCTAACCTGTCCATGTACTTTAGTGTTATGTATGTCAGCTGTAAAAAAAAGCCTCACAAACACTTAAGAATATTGCCATTCTGTTTGATGAATTCAGTCTTGTCACTGACTGACTGGTATGGATCAGTAACTGAATTCTTTTGCTCTGCAATTCATTAATTTGTTGCAAAGTTTATATCATCTGCCTAAAGCTAAGTATTTAAGTGCATTGCTGGGCTGTGATCATTATGTATAATTATCTAGATATTTTGAGTGCTGCTTTTTTTTTTTTTTTTTTTTTTTTAATGTTCTTCCAAATCCTGGTAGTGAAATACAGTTGTTATATAGTTCTCATCAGAAAAAATGATGCACTTCCTAAGTTAGTAAATTACTGCTAGCTTTGAAATAGTGTAGGTAAACAAGCCTGATTAGAATTAGTATTCTGAAAAGGCCTCTTGCAAGTTGTTTACCACGTTATATCAAGATTTCAATATGAATATTCTTTTTTTTTTTAAATTATTTTTTCAGATTTAGAAGGAAATGCATATCAAAACAACCAGCTGCTAAAGATAATTCTGGCCATGCATCAGTTCATCATCTCCTCTGCAGACATGCTTCAGAAACTCATTGATCTATATCCTTTGTAATACTTACCTGCTGTTAAGGTAATATTAGATAACTTGACAACTTTGTAATGGGTAAGTAGAAGATATTTAATCTATGGGTGTATTATTGTTCCACTGATTAAACAATATACTTGTTTTTTTACAGTTTTTGGTTGTATAGTGTGTTTTTATTTGGTTTAGAGTTGGGGTTTTTTGTTTGTCTGTTTGGTTTAGTTTACCATCCACAGACAAAAAGATGAAATTCCAATTCAGATTTCAAGTAGGATAAATCACCCTCCATTGGCCATGGAGGGAATATCTAGCAGGTGTTAGATTAATGTAGGTACCTCAGTTAGGTCCAGGTTCACAGTACCTAAGTTTTAAATCTCTTTCTCTCTCCTGTCCATCATACAAGTAGAAGAGCAAAGAAAAAAATGTGACTTTTGAAAATGTTCTGATTGTATAATCTGGAGGTGAAAATTTTCAATAAATAATATTTCCTCACTCAGACACTCAGACTTACTATACACTGAAATATAAGATTTTCCTTCCTATTTGTTCCCATTTTGAGGTGACTGCCTGGACTTGGACATGTGTGTTTGTCTCATTAGTTTTTTCACAACAAAGCTACTAGATCATATTGGCAATATTTTAATTGTGGAATATATTATCTGATTTCTTAGATTTACAGAATGTTTACTCCTAATTAGATGAGCACAGTACAGGAAGCAGACCTGACATACTAAGAATCTCCAGCCAATTTTGATACAATTTAATTTAGATAGTCCTTTCTTCCCCAAAATTGGCACCATCATTTACAAAAGAGCTTTACTGTAGTGGTGGATTCTGATTGTCCTGCTGCTTCTCTAACCACAGTTGTTACATCAAGTGTGCTAAGATACAACTGTGGTGTAGTATTGCATTTAACTTAAACTCATACACGCTTTGATAATGGAAGAAAGTAATTGCCTGTGTGTTTCTGAGAAGTAGCATTTTCTACAGTCAGAGAAGCAATTCAAATTTATCAGATTTATATGTTATGCAAGCTTTATTTTTGACTCTGTGTATAGATCCCTCTAAAGACATTGAAAAAAAAAAGACAGTTTTGAATGGGTCAGATACTCAGGGGTCTTGTATTTTGAAAAACCTTGCAAATGTCCCGGTTTCACCATTTTCAGTACCCTAAATTATGTGAGTGATTTTAGATGGTTATGGATGATTCGTAAGCCATCCAATTTCAGATATTCAGTTCGGGGCCCTTCAAATTATTTGGGAACTTATTCAGATCTCAATAATTCTATAATCAGCCCAAGTTAAGCATTTAATCTAGGTCCTTAAATTGTGTATGGTATTTCTCCTCAGTTGCAGTACATTTAGGCTGAAGTTAATTTCAATCAGATTGTGGGAGGGTCCACAAGGTATTTTCATTAAATTATTTTTTTTAGTACTGAAAATGTGTGTGTAATCTACAGCAGAAGAATCAAGATATGCATAATACATTTTCTAAATGGATTTTCCATGTCTTCAAAAGAGATTTGCTACAATATCAAAACATGTTCTATAGAGCTAATAGACTAAAAATATGTGTGTTTCTTTGAAGTTATGACAGCAAGTCAGATGAAAACTGTTGAGAAAGGTGAGGTTAGCAAGTGAGAGATATTTCATGGTTTTTTCTCCCCATGTAAACAGCGAGTTATGTTTAAAAGAAACTAGCATCTTTTTTTGAAAAGCTCTAGTGAATTGTAATTAACTGTAAGGATTTCTTCATAAAAGCAGTAATTAATAAATTTGGTATTACTGTTTCAACTTGTAGTGAGATGTGCAAGTATGTGAGTTTTATTAGAAATCGTGAGGCATGTTGCAAAGAAACACGTGTAGAAAGCAGAATCATTTCACTAAACACTACTCACTCCTTGTGTGGCTACATCAGTATTACTCATAGTAGTCATATTTACAATAAACTGTTGCTGACAATCTTGGGATATACTTTGTATACACTTGTGTAAAACCCCAATCTGATATTATGTGCCATCAGTTGAAAGATTCCTATTGTTTACAGGTAGGGAAGTATCAAGCATGTTATATTTCATGTCATATGTGAATGGACATGGTTTTCCTTAACAGTTTTCCACCTATCTTAATGCTTTAGAAAATAAATCTTCCATGCTGTGTGTAAAGATATGCTATTTTGTAAGGTAAGAACATTCTTGCTTGGTGGCTCTTAGTCTGCAGCTATCCGTGTTCCATACATAAGAATGCTTTTGCCTATCTTAAGCTGACATTAAAAAGAGAAACAGCTACACTGCTTCAGCTTCACACAAAAACCCACATTTAAAAAAAAAAAAAAAGTAAAGTTTGATATCTAGTTTAGAGAAAACAGAAGAGAGGAAAAAAGATGCAACTCTGATAATAGATTAGTATATGATATCTTATTTTTTACACAAAATGGGAAATAAGTAGTAATAGGAAAGTAAAATTTGTTTTAAATGGTGATGATTTTATTATCTCAAAGCAGATTATTGGTTAGGTCAGAATGTTTTGGTATTGTATATGATCTGGGAACATTTCTGCTTCTAGGCAAATTCATACACACATGCATCCATAAGAATGTGCATTTCCATTTTTCCAACAAACACAGATTTTTACATGCAGGGGCGTATTGGTCTGGCTGGGATGGAGTTAACTTTCTTCACAGCAGCCCCAGTGATGTTGTGCTTTGCATGGGAGAGTAAAACACAGCAACATTTTAGCTGTTGCTGAACAGTGGTTGCAGAGTGTCAAGACTTTGTTTCTTACTCTGCCCCTCCAGAGTGTGGGCTGGGGATGAGCTTGAGATTGGGACGGGACATAGCTGGGCTAGCTGACACGGATTGACCAAAGGGGTATTCCACGCCACACAGCACTGTGCTCAGCAATGAAAACTTGGGGGGGTAGTCGTTTCAGTGTCGCTGTTGCTCAGATACTGGCTGGGCATCTTGTAGGAGATGGTGAGTGATTGCCTTTGAATCACTGGTTTGTTTGGTTGCATTTTTTTCTTTCATTCAGTTATTAAACAGTCTTTATCTTGACCCACATATTTTTCCAGCTTTTGCCCTTCCTATTCCCTCCCTCTTGTTGCTGTAGGGGGAAGGATGCAGCAAGCACCTGAGTGGGTACTTAGTTGCTGGCCAAGGTCAACCCACCACAATGGGTGACATGTTACATACAGGAATTGAAATATAAAATATATGACTGAGACAATTTAAATGCCCAGCATAGAGAAGTGTAGTTCTCTGTAGATATTTTGTGCATGTGAGACTGAATCACCTGTAAACTATTAAATATATTTAATTTGTACATTTTTCTTCAGTTAATAGATAAAATTCTGACTAGCGTGGTACATTTTTTCTGATGGCCAGACCAATTAATTTCAAGTTTTAAAGGAATATGTAAAATTATTTATAAGTTCACGAAGAAAAAATCAGCATGCATATTATCTAGATTTACTATGAAACTAGAAATTTTAATATTGAATTTATTGCAAACCTATGTGTAGTATAGTTTTGTATAGCATTAAGCCTGGTAGTTGCTAATTTGTTTTTCATTTCAAAATTTTGATTTTTGATAAAATCAAGGTAGCCTAGCAAATGCATCTAAAAGTGATTTATCACCTGAAGTTGGTCAGGAATAAATACAACTCATAAACAGGAGCAAAACTGTCTCAATTTCAGCCTTATTGATGTTAGAGCAAAACCTTTATTTTTGTGTTTCTGTATTTTCAATGTGCAATAGGTACTGGATTACAGAATTCTGGGTTATGTTCAAAATGGACTCTAAACTATCAACAACTATGGAGGAATTTCAAGAACTGGTTAAAGCTAATGGTGAAGAGTTACACTCTCGTCTAATTGACACATCTCAAATGTGAGTGCTGAAGTCTCAATATGATTAGACTCTGAATTTTGCTCTGAAGTTTTCTTTTTGCTCTGAATTTCTTTTATTCAATTGTAATGTCTCTCCAGTATATCAGGATAATGGTCCTATAGTGGGTTAATTTTAATAAGTCATATGTTATCTATCCCTAGAAGACTCTATACATCATTATTCATTAAATAAATCCTACAGCTATACAGCACATAAGTTTGGTTTTTTTTCCTTGGGAAGAGAACCTTGTTATATGAGAGGAAGATAGTTCTTTGGAACTGTATAACTGTCAATTCATACTTTGGTTGGAAATGCACAGGCAAAACAGAGCAGAATTTAGCATACATTTTATATCTGGTTAGAAATGAGGATATTTAGTTTTTCAAATCCAACTGAATTTCATTACTTAATGGTCAGTTAGCATAGGGAGAACATACTCAGAGGCTGGTCAAGGAAATCCGTAAGAATTCTTAAAAGAAGGAGCACTGAACATGTTCAATGAAGACAAATTTATGGATAGAATTCTGGAAGTGCAATATATAATCTCATGCTGTTCAGTAATATAGTTGTATTGCATTTATATGCTACATCTATATAATAAAGACTTACAATAATGTTTTGTTATGTAATCATTAATGACTGAAAGGAGCTTACTGTTTAGAAATTCAAATATTTCATTTTTTATTGCAGTAAGGCATGAAAACAATGTTACTTTTGTATTGGGGAGAGAGGAAACGTTTGCTCTTCAAAAAATAACCCAGGGTAATTCTGTTTTAAAATTTGTTTAAAAGAAATTCTAGGGATTGGTCTAGAAAGCTGACACAGCGTGTGAAGGCCAACACCAGTAAGAAACGGAAAGTCTCACTTCTTTTTGATCACCTTGAGCCAGAAGAGCTGTCAGACCACCTTACCTATCTTGAGTTTAAGTCTTTCAGAAGAATATCAGTAAGTGATGTTTATTTGTTTGTTTGTTTGAAACAAGGATTGGAAAGACAGAAAAGATCACAGAATCATCTAGGCTGGAAAAGACCTTGAAGATCATCTAGTCCAACCATTAACCTAACACTGACAGTTCCCAAGTACACCATATCCCTCAGTGCTATGTCGACCCGACTCTTAAACACCTCCAGGGATGGGGACTCCACCACCTCCCTGGGCAGCCCATTCCAATGCCCAACAACCCGTTCTGTAAAGAAATGCTTCCTAATATCCAGTCTAAACCTTCCCTAGTGCAACTTGAGGCCATTCTCTCTTGTCCTATCACTTGTTACTTGGTTCAAGAGGCTCATCCCCAGCTCTCTGCACCCTCCTTTCAGGGAGCTGTAGAGGGCGATGAGGTCTCCCCTCAGCCTCCTCTTCTCCAGACTAAACACCCCCAGTTCCCTCAACCGCTCCCCGTACAACCTGTGCTCCAGACCCTGCACCAGCTCCGTTGCCCTTCTCTGGACATGCTCAAGTCATTCCATGTCCTTTTTGTAGTGAGGGGCCCAAAACTGAACACAGGAATCGAGGGGTGGCCTCACCAGTGCCGAGTACAGGGGTCAGATCCCTTCCCTGTCCCTGCTGGCCACGCTATTGCTGACACAAGCCAGGATGCCATTGGCCTTCTTGGCCCCCTGTGCACACTGCTGGCTCCTGTTCAGCCGGCTGTCAATCACCCCCCAGGTCCCTCTCTGACTGGCAGCTCTCCAGCCACTCCTCCCCAAGCCTGTAGCGCTGCTGGGGGTTGTTGTGGCCCAAGGGCAGCCCCGGGCATTTGACCTTATGGAAACTCCTCCAGTTGGGCTCAGCCCATGGCTCCAGCCTGTCCAGGTCTCTCTGCAGAACCTCCCTACCCTCGAGCAGATCAACACTCCCACCCAACTGGGTGTCATCTGCAAACTGACTGAGGGGGCACTTGATGGGAAAGGGGTTGTATTACAAGAGCAGCCCTGCAGTGCAAGCTGTTGAACAAGCTGAGTTTGTGCCCAGACTCTTTGTTTTACTAGTGTTGACGGTGGGCAGTTATACTTATTCTGAGTTCATACCCTTTTGCTGCAGTCATTTGAGCGAGGGAGGGTGAACCTTTTAAGCAACTGCGGGACAGATTCAGGGCAAGGTCAGTTGGAAGGAAGAGGAGTAAAACATTTGATCTGCTTCTAAATAATCTCTTTTTGTTAGAACAAATGGTGTCATTTGGCGTAGGAACAAGCAACCTTCTTTGATTCAAATCTGTAATCAGGATGAAATGGGATGAAGGCAACTTGGAATATTCTCCTAGAATGCTAAACTCCTGTGGCTGCAGGAAACAGAGCAGCATTCTTGTGCAGTGACTAAAGGACTGTCTGTACAGAAGAGGTCCACTGGACTCTGCTGTTTTTGATTGTGCATAACAAAGCACCTGAGAAAAGGCGCTTTTTTTAATTTGAGGGGGGTTTAAAATATTTTATTAGACAAGCTTTCAAGTATACAAACAATTCTTAAGGATTTATCTCATTTATGTTTTCCCTCATTTGATATGTTTTCTCAGCTATGTTGGTAGCTGATAAGATGTTAAGTTACCTGTGTGCCTGGACTTTGCTTGCATCCTTGTGTGCTACAACAAAACTTCTATTCAAACCTGCTAAAGTTCACACATGAAAAAGAAAAGTGAGAGACCAAAATCTAAGATGATTGCAAAGTCAATGTGATGATAACAGTGAAAGCAAAGTCTTTTTTTAAGGATTTTTGTTTGGTTTTTGATTTTTAGTGAGTTTTTTTTTAAACACTACAATTTGAAGACGAAGCCTTGTAAGGAAAGGGGCTCTCAATAGGCTGTGGAAGATTTCACAGTGGTGTGTTAGTGTACTTTATTTTGAGCTGATAGTACATGACTCTTCGAGTTTTGTGTTATATTCAAAAAGCCATAGAACCAAAATTATGCACAGATTCCTGCCTGTAGGCAGTAATAATATGCAGAGCTTATATAACCCTTAACATTTTCAAGCTCTGTGCAGACAATGAAGTAGTTAACGGTTAATGAACATAACAAGTATGATTGCAGTCACCATGTGTCATAGAGTTCCAACAGTTACATACTTGTATACCTTTTATATGCAGAGTACCTGCATATGTTTTGGTATAAATTGAGTTTACCAAGACCTCAGATCAGAAAATAATGTGTAATTAATAAATAGCTATATTTATTAACTCTTGCAGAATGTGTTCATGATATGCTAAGCCACAGAATCTTTTTGTTATTCTAACATGGAAGAAAGGCTGCAAATGACCTGCTCTGTTATCAGCCACTGGAATAACTATTCATAGGTTTGGTCGTTTGAAAGTCAGAAGGGAATACTTGATCCCCTGAACATATACAGCACACAGCAAAATCTTCCATGAGACACCATTTATCTTGCAGCAAAGAAAAATATAGGGAGTGGTGTTCACAGAGTAATGACTGCAGGTATACTGGTGTTTGGCAACCATTTTAATTTATAGTTATAAAATACAGGAGGCTACACTATTTTGTAAGAATCTGGATTCTGATTTCCTGTTGAGGCTCCTCAGTTAGTCACTGCAATACTAGTCTCTTGCATTATTTAAGTACCTGAACTTCTTTATTGCATCTGCCACTAACAATCTTGTTACAGCTGACCTCTTTAATAAATTCTTGAACCAAAATTATTTTGAAACTTTAAGTAGTATGTTAGATATAAATAAGTTCAACATTTAAAAAAAAAATTTTTTTTGAAGTAGAAAGCTGCTGAGAACAAAATATAAACTAATCAAAGTGATTCATAATTGTACTGAAACTGCTATGAAGTCCATAATTATGTAGTCAGATATTGAAAAATTATCTATTTGTATAGAGTAGTTGCTTAAATTCAAGATCCAGCCAAATCTGGCTGGGATTCAAAATTCAAATAATAATTGTAAGTACATACTATGTAATCTCAGAGACAGCTCTACTTATTACTGTTAATGTTTCTTCCATTTTTAGTATATAGTTATATATTAGTTTAATAAGAGGAAAAATCCAGAGATGTCTTCTGTCATGTCTGCTTTTTAAAGTGTTAATTGTTCTAATTAAATGGATGGAAAAGAGTTAAAAAGTGGACAGAAAGTGAGAGAGGGAGAGCAAGAAACAAACAGCAGCCTGACAATCCTTTTCTTAAGGATCAGTGCCATTCAGCATGCTCCTGTGGCCTTAAGAAAATATGTGTCTATTAAAGCTATGAATGCTTTCAGTAAAATGTTAGCATTAGGGTCATAGTACAGAATTAACATATAAATCTTGCATCACATTTTCTGATGATTCAATTTTTTGTGTATTCTTGTTAATGGATAAATCAAGAGAATGGATAAACATTGCATCAACAAAAACAAATGACTGCTTCTCTTAGATCTTAATAGGAGGAATGGCTTAAAATAAATTTGTCACATACAGGTGTCTACTGAACAATTTTAGATCACTTTGGTTAAATAAGAGAATAGCACAAGCTGTATTACAAATATTAAGAAATCTGTAACACTCATTCTTAATGGTCTTAGTTTTATATTAATCTCATTGAACTTGCTTTTTATATTAGTGTAGCTTAATTCAGAAGTGTGCCCTATCTACATAAACTGAACACTTAACTTCCTTAAACTTCCTTAAACTATCAACTGAGTTACTAGATTGCACTTTAAATTCAGTTTAACCTTCCCTGTAGAAACCTAGATTCAATGAACCTATGGAGCCATTGAAGCTGGGAGGAAAGCCCCAACTCTACTCATCCTAGGGTTTATAAGAGCCAAGGCTCCTGGGATATACATGGTGCAGTGATGTGATACAAATTATGGCAAAAGATGCTTTCAGTTAATTCAAATAGTTGAAGTCATCTTATTTGAACTGAACAAAGCTTTGATAAAGGACAGATTACAGTCTTCTGGATATTTAAGGTGTAAAATATATATTGTATATTTAATTTAAAAAGCAGACCTGTATCTGCACACAGATCATGAGGTATATGAAACTCTAGATAAGTTTTCATTTATACTTTTTGTTTGTTTTCTTTAAGTTCTCAGATTATCAGAACTACATTGTGAATAGTTGTGTGAAGGAGAATCCAACAATGGAAAGATCAATTGCTCTTTGCAATGGTATCTCTCAGTGGGTGCAGCTAATGGTTCTCAGCAGACCAACACCACAGCTTCGGGCTGAAGTGTTCATCAAGTTCATTCGTGTGGCACAGGTCAGTTAGATTTTGACATGTGTGATGTTTATTTTGTCTTTTGCTGATACAGCACTTTAGCTGCTCTTCCCGTGCTACTACTGCAGGGTCAGCTAGGAGTGTTGGCACTGGTCTCCTGGTTCATACACACAGCACCCCTATTTGTGTATGCTGTGGTTTCATACCAAGTATTCAGATATTACAGTGTCATGGCACCATGACTTTCTCATAACCATTCTGAAGAAATTGTTTTCACTGAAAAATTAGATTTGCTTTTGAATCAGCTGGTGAGATTCCAAGCTGTGACTGAGTACCTTTCCAAAGCATGAACCACGGTCATGCCTTTGGCTGTAATTAGAAGCCTTTCTACCAGATACACATTACTGGATAGAAGCAGAGCTATGGTACTACAGATATTCTGTGCATGCTAATTCAACTGCAGTCATAACCAAGATAATAAGCAATGTTTCCTAGTTGTGGTAGACTATGGGAAGAGGGAGAAGTACTGAGGAAGTATTTGAAGACTTTCTGTATCTGCAGAATTAATATTTAATAACAGTAGAATAAGTACGTTACACTCAGTAAAATCACAAGTCATTACCAAAATGAGTGAAGTCAAATAGAGAACAGCACAAAACTTGTAAGACTTTAGAGGAAGACAATAGAGGAAATGTAGAAATTGAATGTGCATATTGAACGATTTGAACTTTTAAATAATAAATACTTATTTTTTTGCATGTCAACACAGAAGCTTCACCAGCTGCAGAATTTCAATACATTAATGGCAGTGATAGGAGGTCTCTGTCACAGTTCCATTTCCAGACTCAAGGAAACAAGCTCATGTGTTCCTCATGATGTAATTAAGGTTGGTATTGCTCCTTTAAGTTTTACAAATAGAATAGACTTTAACTTTTTCATTATTGCATACACAAAATTCAACCTTACTTCATTGGATAAGATGGAGAGAAAAAATAAAAGACTTCCTTTAGTTTTGGAAGGTTTTTCTTTGTCATCTCATCTCTATGACACCAGTTACTCCTACACTTCCAACCCCAGCTTTCTTGAAGATTTGTATAGCTTCTCTAAAGTTTCTCTTTAAATACTCAGATGTGACAAGCTGCATTTTTATTTATATGCAGTAGTACAGAATAGCATGCAAACGTGAAAGCAGAGAATTGGATCCTAGAACACTTGAGAACAAAACTGTTGTCAGCCATAGCAACATTGACCAGTCTGAGTCTATGAAATGCTAGCACAGAGCTCTGCACTTTGAGTTCAAAACTGAAAGGACTGGTTTTGTTCATCTGATCTTTGCTTCCTTATGGCAGATTTTATCTAGTTCAGACTTGAACAATCTTAGCCCTAATACACACACATTATAATACAGTGGAATGTTAGGAATCAGTTGTAATTTTCAATTAAATTCTTGTGAAATACAGGTGGATATATTTTTTTGCTGAGATTCCAACTACTAAAACTGCGAAGGAAAGCATATTTTTTCACAATAAAATGGCTTCTTAAGAGACTAATATGCTTTATTATTTTATTTTGTTTGGGGCCCGAAAGATTTCATATAGGTATCCAATGAACTTGTTTTGATCACAGTATGATCAGCTTGAATGAACAGTGCATGCCTGGAATAGAGACCAGAAGTATGACACACACACACCCCCGATAATGGTTGCAGCTCTCAGGATCTATAAAACCAGTTAGCAAGCTTATTTTAGAAGCATGTTGGTTTATAAATTTTGTCATTATGAGGAGTGGACTGCATATGTGTCTGTCATTCGAATAACTTTTTGCGTCAAGAAATTGTAAAACAGCGCTAATAGGAAGCAGGTAAATAAAGGCTGGTAATTCATGACTTGAGAACACACTTCAAAATCTAACTATAACAGTTCGTGAAGGTTAAAAATGAAGCAGTTAGACAGGAACTTCCACAAGAAAACATTGGTCCATTGATTTTATAATGTTAAGAGTCAGCTTTGTACCTGTATAGTTTTAAATAAGGGAAATATTTATACTGCTAGACTTAAGATTCATTTGCCTTTACAAGTCCAATATATTGTTTCCTTTTCATTTCCATGCAAAAATGTTTTCTTAAAAACACAGATGTGCTACCTTGAACTGTAGTAGGAGTTCTGGTCACACTGTAATGGGACCATAGCACAGCATAAGGTTTCTCTGCCAGGATTCCAGCAATTCCAGCTGGTCACCTGCAAGCCAGTGAAGTGCATGCCACATTTGAAGGCAAAGATGGTTGCTTTTATGAAGGTCAGAGAGCTTGTGCTGTGCTTATGCATTAACTGCTTACACATCCCCTTGATTTGAGAGATCCTATTTCTTTTCATTGACTAGATAGGGAATGTAGGAAGACCAGCATTATAGATTAGGCTATATATTAACTATCTGTAATTACTTACTATAGATAGTTAAATTAGGTGAGATGAATACCTAGATTTTATTTGAAGCCTGAAGTTTTAAAATCTGTTTCAAGAGTCATTTTGAGTAAACCCCTTAACAATAACATGAGAAATTCTTGTGCTGTATGACCAGAACAAAAACAGTAACCAAGTTTGATTTTTTTGTTTTTCTTTTTAGGTGTTTAATGAAATGACGGAACTGCTTTCATCTTACAGAAATTATGATAGTTACCGACGTGCCTATAATGAGTGCAGTAATTTTAAGATCCCAATCCTTGGGGTCCACCTGAAAGACTTGATATCACTTTATGAGGGCATGCCTGACTACTTAGAGGACAAAAAAATTAACATATACAAACTATACTCTCTGTATAACCACATAGATGAGCTGATACAACTCCAGGAAATGCCACTTCCCCTGGAGGCTAATATGGACCTTGTTCATTTGCTTACAGTAAGTAGTAAATACCTCGATTTTAGAAATAATTTTGTATATATCTTAAACAACTAATACATAATATTGTAAGATTTTTTTTAACCTTAAGGAAATGTACAATAATAGTAGAAGAGAAAAATTTAGTGATAACTGCTTTGTCTGGCAGCAAGGATAGAGGTGCCAGTTCAGCAGTATGCTTCCAATTATTTCTACAAGGGAAGGAAACGTTTATTTCTGCTTCGCTATAGTAGTATGCATTCTCTCAGTACTTTCACTAAGGACGTGCTCTGAATCCTCTGCTGATTAAGCCTAAATAGGGAGAGAGGTAGAAAGCTTCCTTAGATGCACCGTGGAGGCAAAAGATTGTATACAAAGCTTCCCTGTGTTGAACATGCAAACTTTCACGTAAAATTTTCAGTCCTTCAAGGTGTGTAGGGTTAAACATATCACATTTCTTGCCATGTTTCTTCTGGTACTAAAAAAACTGTCTGACATAAATGTTAGTCAAATATAGTTGTTTTGTGTATTACTCTTCTAGTCATATCTAGTCAGTGCCATTTTACTAACAAAATCAATACTTATGTCACAGCAATAATTTTAGCTTCTCCAAGTAAGTTAAAATACTACCTTGTATTAAAATACTAAATCTACCTTTCTTATTTCTCAGTTTTGTTTGGCCTTAACAAGTAGTCATCTTGGAAAAACTAGATTGGCTGCTTCTACTTTCTGGTTACAAGACCTATTTCAGTAAAAAGCTAATAGATAAAAATGTTTATGTGCTTCAGGTTATTTGTTCTCTCTGGGAGCACTCATGTGTGAAATTAAGCTTATATGCCTAGGGCCTGAAATAAAGCTACATCAGGTGGTGAATTTCTTCCTGCTAAATGTTTTGAATGTTTTGTCTCAAATTATTGTAAGTTGTCCCCCCCCCCCCCCCCTTTTTTTTTTTTTTTTAAATACTGTTTTCTGAAAATGGCTATTACAGATATGTAGAACTTTGGCCACAGTTTTGTGCAGCTATATATGGCAGGACATGAAATAAAGTATTTCTTTTAATTTAGAGCAGGAGTTTCTAATCTGCTAATATTCCAGGGAACATAATATTCCTGTTTGTTCCCTGATTTTTCTAACAGTCTTTCTCCTTCTGTTTCCTTTAGTCATATGCTTTCTCATTAGCAGGCAAATCAGTTTGAAGAGGTATTAGTAATTACATGCATAAGTCAATAATACATAGAAGTATGGTAACATTTGGAATTCTCTTTTTTGAGTGTCAAAAACTACTTTAAGATTTCCCCAAGAATCTAAAGTTATTCACTGTTATGACTACAACAGTAATTCTTGCAGCAGTTCACAGAAAGCTACTGCATAACTGCAATTTGAGTGAGGTTATTCATTGGATAAAATAGCATATTTTGGCTTCTTAGTTTATATACGTGACTGCCATGATCTTGACTCTGTTTAACAAGTTTTTTGGGTTTTTTTTGATTTGCCATAGATTGAGGCTTGTAACACATTTATGTGTGGCCTTTCTATTCAAGTGCATGTGTACTGTGAATATTTTCATGTAACTATTCAAAAAGTGTCATGTTACCAGTCTACAATCTCAGCTTGAAATTTATTTCCAGGCAACAGAATATTTGCTATACTATTTTCTGGGACACATGTAAAAGCAAAGATACACATTTGATAATTTTTTCAAATTAATTTATTTACATAAGTGTAATGTTTCTCAAGTTATATAACTGCTGTTGACAACTAAAGTTTCTCACTAAATATATGCAAATCCATCTTTTATCCTCATCATGTACTTCTTAGTTCAACATGTTTACAGCTGGATTGGATAAATATGACATGTTTGAACAAGAATTTTCTGAGAATTTGAGTTGATGGACAGTTTCATTGGAATGGTGCTTTGTGCTTAGTTGCTTGATGGACCACTTGGATATTATGGGAGTAACAGGTTTTATTCAGGTTACTTATTAACTGACTGCTAATTATGCCTACAGTCATTTGCTGTGCTAATGACTGTAGCTATGTCATGTTACGGATTTCCAGATAAAGGAAATAACAGTCTGGAATTTAGAAATGCACTCGTGTATTTCTAAATACACATTTGGAAATGTGCACATTTAGAAATGTGCAGCTCAAGTGCATTTTTTCTAGGTGCAACCTAAATTAAAAATTAATCCACCAAAAATACTAATGCATGCCAGGAACAAGTTTATCAAGTAGTAGTGACTATTTTGGAATTAAACTGATGTTGTGTTTGTTTTCAGCTGTCCCTTGATCTTTACTACACAGAAGATGAAATTTATGAGCTTTCATATGCACGAGAGCCACGAAGTCACCGAGCTGCTGTAAGGGCCTTTACAGATTCTTAACAAAAATATTTTTTTTATGAGTAATGTAACTTTTATCCCTTGCGCTCATTTTATTTTATGTTAAACTGAAAACTTGTTTGGTTGATAAGATAGAATATATGGAATAGTTGACACCATATCAGGTATTATAATATGAACACAAACACAAAATGAAGTTACTCGTGTAGAGACGTGACATCAGGCTCAATCCTGGTACTTGATATTGATTCTTTCAAATGAAGACTTCATATGTGATTCAAATGATGAAACCCATCAGTGTTACATTGTAGTTTTGTTACTGGTTTATAAATATGGAAAAGATGGTGAATTTATAGGGCTGTCAGTGAACTCTGACAATTTAAGGAATGGCCACTGTTTTGGACAGTTTGGGGAAGAGCTTTCTCTGAAGTACCACGTAATTATCAGAAGTATGGTGCTGAGTCCAACAGGTCATTTCTTCAGTCCTGCATCACATAGTTTATTGTTGCAAATCAAAGAAGTGTAATACTGAAAATCTTCCCATGTGGTACTAATGAAGTCCCATTCACTTAATTCTAGCCTTTGACACCTTCCAGACCACCAGTAGTTGCAGACTGGGCCTCAGGAGTAGCCCCAAAACCTGATCCAAAAACCATCAGTAAACATGTTCAGAGGATGGTAGATGTAAGTATGGTTGGCCCATTTACCTTACAAGTTGTTGCCTTAATCTCTAGGTATGAGAAAATTTAAAGAAAGGAAAAAATACTGGACACATTCGGAGCTGTGCTGAGTTTGTAGGCACTTGTCCTCAGAAACAGGTATTTCTGCCTAGCTGTAAATAGCAGCAGTAGCCCATGAGGCATGGCAGGAAATTCCTTAAACAGCTAAGGAGCCAGTGGGGAATGTGAATGATGCTTTATATAATTCCAGAATCATTCTTCCAAGGAGCCAGGGAGTCAATTTCTACCAGGGACTCCAACATCATGTCACTGGTGGAGTCTGAAAGTGGGCCTCTCAATGGCTTTGTGACTAGCAGCCATTGCTTTTTCTCTACTTCTTGGCTCACTGGCTTTACTGGAAACCATCATGTAAGCTCAGGTCACAGTTCCCAAATTGATGGGGAGAGTTAAAGTTTGTCTTTGCATCCCTGCTTCATCTATTTTCCTTCTAAACACTTCTAATCTTGCTAGGTATCCTTTGTTACACGCTGGTTTGGAATATATTTCTAAATTTGGCCTAGGTGTGCTCCTTGCCTTAGGGCCAGAGATAAACGGTGATGTCATTCCACCCATGGAAATATGTGTCTGCATGACAATTCTGTCATATAACTGATTTTCACATAACATTGATCTGATGAAATAAGCTAGGCAGCTACATTGATATGACTACAGAGATCATCACTGAGAGCACTAATTGAGAGCATTAGTACAAGTTGTATATGTAGGCCTAGACATAATGATCTTAAAGCAAAACTAAAAAAGAGCTGTCATTGTGTAGTGAAGCATTTACTCTACCCTATGTTGACTTATCTATATTTTGCTTTAAATCAAGAAATCATAATGCTTCTTTAGTCTCAAGCAGAAAAAGCAGTTAGACTGTTGCATTGTTTAATAGATACTGGGAGAAAGCAGGAGAGGAAATCTACAAATATTGTGGAGACTTTCTAAAGTGGTAATTCAGCCCATCCTCATTATCTTGCACAGTCTGTCTTCAAAAATTATGACCATGATCAAGATGGATACATTTCCCAGGAAGAATTTGAAAAGATAGCCACGAGTTTTCCATTCTCGTTTTGTGTAATGGCTAAGGACTGGTGAGTACCTTAGTTCTGCTTATCAACTTTGTACCATTTGTTTTGGGAGGGGTTTTTGTGGTTTTGTGTTTAAAATTATGATTAGGGTGGTAAAATCATCCTCTTCACTCACAAATAGAAGTGAAAACATAACTGACAAAAGCATCTTCTAATTGTGTTTTGAATTACATTTTCATGAACTTACAGCAGTGGTAACCAGGCTGATGTAGGAGGAAGAATAGATAATAGAGAAAGAAATAGGGTTTTTTGAATGATACTCGGTATACACTACTAAAGAAATTTCCTAAGATGAACTTGTCCTTCAAAAATAGAGAATTGGCAAATGTATATTTTGGTCAAATTAAGAACATTTTCCTTAACATTTTAAAGCTTGGAAAAACAAATAGTGATTATTTAGAAGTTTTCTATGAAGTAGTTTTGAGGTTATATGCAGAATTTCATGTATCCTTACAGGCTGCATTTTAAATGTCTAGATAAGCTTCTGTAGCCTTTGGGAGCAGTTGACAAGATTACTGAGATCACTGTAGTTTTTGGCCCAGAAAGCTATTGCCAGTATAAATTGTGAAGAAAGATATGTTTAATTTTCCTTATGCTTTTAAGAAAATGTTATGTCTCACAAGCAACTTTTCTTGTTTATTTTCAGGGAAGGTCTGATTAGCAGGGATGAAATAACAGCTTACTTTATGAGGGCTAGCTCAATCTATTCCAAATTAGGACTTGGCTTTGCTCACAACTTCCAAGAGACCACTTACTTAAGGCCTACTTTCTGCGACAACTGTGCTGGATTTGTAAGCTTACATTTTAGTAAATTACGTTAACGTTGTTTCAGATAATGCTTTTTTTTTAGTCTTGTAATCACTAATGTGTCATATGCAGAAATGGACCTATGTAAAATGCCAGTGAATCTACACAGAACACCAGGCTTCTGCCTGTGTACTTATTTAAGGTACCCTTTACACCCCTCCTGGCAGTACTATTGTCTGCTAAACATGGCTTCTACCTTGTGGTGTTCAGTCGTGTCACTGCAGTCTCAAGGAACCAAATCCAGAGCCTTCCACTCCATGGGGCTGTTGGAACTCATGTCCTAGTACAGACATGACATGCCCCCTGCCCATGGCACTGAAAGATTTAGTAACATTGACTATTCTACCAATCCCCAGTTTAGTGGGGATCAAACAAGGGTGCCGAGATAGAATTCTCCATCTGCTCCAGCTCTAACTTCTCTGGGGGCTGTCAGATCTACTGATTTATTCATTAGAGACTAGCTCAAGGTATTTCATTGGTGACTGAGGAACACAAATAAAATATTCTGTTTACCTTATGCTAAAGAAGTCAATAGTTGATTTTTTGGCCTTGCCATTAAAAGGGTAGAAAGCCAAGATATTCTGCAGGTGCTCAGATCTTAGAAATGAGTGGAGCTTTTAGTGGATTTTTATATCTGGAGGTATCAAATGTTCAGAGAAATACATTAATACATAGTCTTTCTGTTTGTTTGAATTTCAGCTATGGGGAGTCATTAAACAAGGATACAGATGCAAAGGTAAGGTACTTTATACTTTGCTAATTTTAGTCTATAATTGATGGTGAATGACAAACCTGATCATCCTGAGATCCACTGTTATGTCTGCGGACCTATTTAATCTGATGTCTCAGGGAGGAGAAGACTGATTCAAGGCTAGTATGACAGACAGATGGTCCAGAAGAAAGATAAAGGAACTTGTAACTGATAGCTTTAACCCTTTGCAAAATGTCACTGACTTCAGAGGGTTTGGGAACAGACCCTTCTATTCCAGTGGGTGCAATCACCAACACTAAAAACTGTGCAGCACATTCACATGTATTTTGCAGAGTTTTCTTCCTCATACAGGTATCTGCTTTCTCTGCAACTCCTACAGTCAGGATGCTGTTGTGACTGAATGTTGCTATTTAGTATTTTCACAACGAAAAGGAGCTTTAGACTTACAGAGCAAAGGGATGTCATTGGTCTGTTTATCAGATGCATGTAGTTACAGGTAATGCATGTAGAGAACACCAAAGAAGTTTTCTTGCTTCCTGGGGAGGCAACGCAGTGTGAGAGCTGAGCTTAGATGCTACAACAGAGCCACCGAATTATATAAACTTTGTTTTGTTTACAGACTGTGGAATGAACTGTCACAAGCAATGCAAAGATCTGGTTGTGATAGAGTGCAAGAGAAGACCCAAAACTTCAGTTGCAGACAGCAGCCCAACATCTGCTCTTGCTTCAAGCCTCTGCCCAGTAGGAGTCAAAGAGCAATTCCATGGTGAGAAAAAATCACATTAAAAAGATCAAAATATCTAGATAATCTTTCGTTTGCTCCTTTTTCTTTTAAAGCTGAGTTGTACAGCATTGTTTTAGGTTTTGTTAGTTAACTGCAGTGTTTTATCAACATATAAACTAGAACCAGGTGTAAGTGAGCCAATAGCAAGTAACACCATTCCAGTTTTAGTCTGCATAAGGACGGACTCCTTCTCTGGGAGATCTCTTGTCACACTACACAATGTGTGGTGCACAAATTCCACAGAAACTGAGTAAATCTTCTACCAGACTCTTATGAGAACTAGATGCCATGAACTGAACAGCTGACAGGTTCCTTTAACTCTCTCACCTTGTGACAAGTCACATTAAGTGACTACTGCACTGTTTCACAATTCTGACTCAGATTTCAATGTGTATAGAGTCAGTTTGATCATGTTTGATATGTGTGCTAGGAAAGCCAAGAGATAATTGTGTTTATTTTTTCCACTTCAGTAGCTGAATCTACAATTCCTCTTTGTCCATCCATCTTCCATTTAATCGGAAATGAAAAATCTACACCTCTGTTCTTTTCTCCTTATATCAAACCATGCAGGCCCCTAAAGGAGGAAGTATTGTCCTTGAATAAGACCTCAGGCTACTTTTATCTTTCTTTTGAATTTGATGCTCCAACTCTCTCCATACTCTCTTTGAATTTCTCTCCTGGTCTCTGCCTGTATCTAATATTCTTCAAATCTACTTCTTGCCACTTTGATATCAATCTTTCATGTTGTATTTAAGATTCATATTGGTGGATTCCATCTCAGGCTTCTTATTAGCACTTACGAGGAGCACAATGAAGCCAGTTTCTCTTGATAACTGACCATGTACATCTCTGTGGCTGCAGCACTGCATAATAACCACCTTGTGGGATGTCACACTTACAGAGAGATTGAACTGTTGTGTGTTGCCCCATCATCACCCAGTCTGCCAGAATGTGGTACCTCTCAGTGCTACAATTTGTTGAAGAATGAGAATTCAGGTCTGGCTGAAGGTGTAAGTCTCATCTGTTCATCCAAATCCTCATTTAATTCTTCAGAGCCTGCAGCACCTACTGGACTGACTTTGTGCTTTCCCTGCACCTGTTTGAACATGCAGTCTCATTTTGTTTTCTTCCCAGCAGAAATTACTGTATGTGAAATGGGTCGGTTTTGTTTTATCCTTTAATCTCATCTTTTGCCACTGCTTCTACCATTGTGTGGTTCCTTTCCCTGCTTAGTTTTCACTTTTAACTGCAAAAGTGTTTTAGGATGACCTATACAAAAGCAATGTAAAATTTAAAATGTCATTATTTCACCTTTATAAAGTGGATAAGTTGTATCTTAAAGCTGCAACTTGTGATAACACTGAACTAACACCCAGGTTTAATCTTCCAGTCCAGTCACTGGTCTATAAAAAAACTCTTAGCCATCTTGAAGTTTTTCTCTAGCTGACCTTGATGGTACACCTGTTTTCCTCTTACTGATCCATATTTATGTTACTGAGACAGGGCAAAGAGTTGTTCCAGGAAAAACAACATTGATAAATTTCCAGTGACAACTATTTTGGAGAGCAATAAATGTAAAATCAATAAAGAACAAATGTTGGTTTATTCATTAAAATAATGTTTAATTACCGTGCCTTCTGTTTCTCCTTTCCTGGGATATGATCTTGACCTAATTTACCATATATATATTTTACAGGACAAGAAGAAGGACCATTCACATTTCCTAATGGAGAAGTAGTGGAACACAGTGAAGACAGCAAGGACCGAACCATTATGCTCATGGGTTCCTCAGCTCAGAAAATCTCAGTGAGACTGAAACCAGCTGTGGTTCATAAAGGTACACAGACTGATCCTGCACTGCTGGCTGGTGATGTATCTCGTAGGCAGACAGAGAAGAAAGAACACAGGATGCCAGAAAATCTTTATCTTCAGGCAGCTCCATCATCCCCATGTCCAAGCCCAATTCTAGGCCGCAAAAAGGCCTATGTTAAATGGGAAAACAAGGACTCCAGCCATAAAGTGAAGGAGGAGCATCACAGCTGTAAACCCTCATACCAGGAACTTGAGCAGGTACATACATGATGAAGCAAATTCTGCTTTACACAACAGTACCGTAAAGTGGCTGTGGGGGAGTGGCTGGGTGGGAAGTTGTCACTCCAGTGCAATTACGGCAGATGATAAAGGTTTAAAGATCCGGCTGGAACAGGCACATAAAACAACTGAATCTCTCAAACTGCCAGAACAATCCATGAGTGGCATCATAAATTCTTAGCCACTTTAACTCCAGCAATGCTTCACTTCAAGTATAAATTTCAGTACTTTAGTATAGGGCTTATGGAATGAATTTTGAAGCCCTCATTATGATTACACTGAACACTGTCCGTCTTAAAAGTGACAGGCAAGAATGTGAACATAATCCAGTCGCTTAGAACAGGCTGTTACTCCATAAAACGAGTAACATAGTCCAGAATTTCTTCCTAGTTTTGGTGGCTTCTGCTCCCTTAAGTGACATGATATATGGGGCGGGGAGATTGGGGAGCTTTGCTTTTGTCCAACTGACAGTGAATCCCTTCTTTTTTTTGATAACTAAGTCACCAAGAAATTTCGCTGTGTGAACAAGACGTGATGCCTCTTGCTAGATTTCACCTGCATCAGCCCAGTTGTGGCTCACTTTACAAGTGTTCTGACAAGGTAGCTATTCATAAGACTGTCACCTCAGATTTGGCCCAAATTCAGGTTTGTAGAAACACCACCTTTTCAGACAGATTATCACAATATCAGCAATGTGACTAATGGATCCAGATATGGTTATGAGGAACAAAGGTGAACTTATTTTCAGACTTTACTCATTACTGTCACTATTCTGAGATGGACCAGCATGGAAACAGTCCCACAACAGGACCACAGCCTGATCTTTGAATGATCCGTATAACTTTGCTTTGAGAAACTGAGCTCATCTTTCATGAAAGATGATTCATTTATTAAAAGAGAGATCAAGACAATTAGGAAGAATTTTGCAGTACAGACCACTTCTCTTTCAGTCAACATTATGTTCAATATAGACAAGGATGTGAAGTGTGGATGCACTTGTAAGAATGTTCCATTCATGCGAGTCCCACAATTTACACTTGTCCTTGCTCTGTCAGCAGATCCTGACCTCAATTACTGAACAGCAACAGAACACAAATGAATGTCTTAGATTATTGTGCATCAGTTTCTGCATTAGTAGAGCAGTGGAGTGTGAGCTGTGTTCCTGTTTCCCCTGCTGTTCTGAGGGGAGCAGTGAAGGGTGGGTAAATGCAGGTTGTGGACATGACTGTCAGATACAAGCTGCTGTAAAGTTTTAGGAGTCTACACAAAGGACAGAACAGCAACTATGGAAACAGTCAAATACGTTATTGGTTCTGTTCCACTGATAAGAGCTACACCAACTTAACATTTATGCCAGTCCACCTAAACATACACCCAGACTGTCCTAAACCAAATTCAAACTAAAATACAGTTCTCTATTTTTTTGTTTAGGAAAGAAATATTCTAAAGGCAGACAATGAAGGTTTAAAGATCCAACTGGACCAGGCACATAAAACAATTGAATCTCTCACAATCCAGAGAAGAAACCATGTTGTTGACAACCTACAACACAGAGACTGCTCCTAGAATGTAAGACTGAAGGAGGGGTTGTGATAAAGCTGCTTTACCAAGTGAACTGGAGAGACAGTCTGAAGGATGTTAACAGAAATACTCTCTTTACTCAACACATTTCCATATTAAACATACACTCCTGATTTTATAACTCCATTCCTTTGACTTTTTAAGGTAATTTAGCATTATCTGTGCAATGAAAATAGTATCTTCTGGGTTTGCTTTTAAAAGGAGTGGCATTGTTAATGAAGTTTCTGTGCATGATTAAGACCATGTGGATTCCCCAGTGACTTGGCTGCCAGCAGCACACCTTATTCTACAAGTAGCTATTCACAACTGTTTCACTTCAGATTTGGCCTAAATTCAGGTTTGTAGAAACAAATGTTCAATAAATCTGAGTATTTAAGTAAAAAAAATATTCCACTAAGAGAAACAGTTCCTTCTCATTGTGACTGAAACCAGTGAAAATCATGAACTGCCATCTTTATTTCCAAAGTTTAACAAGAATATTAAAATAAGTAGTTAAGATAGTGATAATTGATTATTTGATTCTTACTTTAAGATAAACTGACAATTTTTGTAAACCTCTTTCAGAGCTTTAGAAGTCCTGCTGCTCAAATGCCTACCTTTGTTAAAGTAAAATAGATGAGACTATAGAGTTTACACTGAATACTGCTTCCATTCTTGTGTTCCATGCCACAGCTTGGAACACTTAGCCCTACTTACCTGGCTTAACGGGTAACTTGTCCACATACAGTAGATATGGGACAAGGTTCAACTCTGACTCTCATGTCAGAGTGGACATCGTTGATTAGAACCTCAAGGGCCATATGAGGGAAACTGTACAGTAATCCCAGTGTAACAGTTACTGTATTCTAGAGCTCCGAACATCTTCTGGTTCTAAGCAAGTTTTCTCCATTTCTCTCTCCTCTATTTCACATGCACTTTAGGTAAAGAATCAAGATTGAGTGTGCTCTTCCATGTGTAAATTCTGTATAGTAAAAGGTGCTAGGGAGGTAACTCAGTTTTCTTAAAGCTACAAAGTGTACATATTCTTAAGAGACAACAAAACAGTCTATCGTTACCAATAAATCTACTTGCTTGCATCTATCAAACAGGGATTTCTCATCACACATTTAAACATCAGAATCTTATGACTTTGTAGATAGTCTACTTAATGCTCAAAACTTGTAAGTTACAAGTCCTTTGTAGATTGAAATTTAGTCAACCTATTACAATAGCATGTGTGCTTTGTGTTCAAAGTGGTATAAATGTACATTCCATCCACGATTTAGTTGTTATCTATGAACGCTTTATTTATAAAAAAAAATCTGTTTGAAACTACTCGTCAGTTTAGCGATTGTAAATTCTTGTTTTGAACCTGGATTGTGCTTGCATCTCCATGTATAAGTAAAAACAAATGGAGGGAAATAGTAGTAGTAGTAGATTTTCTGTTACCTTATTGTAAATAACTAAAATGCATAGGACAAAAAACAGCAGCTGTGAAGATTGTGCAGGTTTTTTTTCCACATACACTAAACCTGAATTTATTAACAATTAACATGGAATTGCACTTTGATCCATGAAGCAGTCAGAATGGCATTTAGGTCATGTCTGCAAACTTGCTTTGCTCATTTTCTGTAAGCTTCTTGATTTTGTCCTCTATTCAGGGAACTAGAGCAAGGCATATTTCTAATAGGCATTTAACATACAAAAGTCTGTTTCTGAAACAGTTAAAATAAACAAGATAAAATTTGAATGTATTTTCACAAATTCCAAAAATACCCCAAAAGAGCAGCTAAGACTCATATCTTGTTGCACAGCTGTGATAACTGCTCACTTGTGGCTTAAACTCTGGATTCTAATAGAATTTGTGTGCATGCATATATTTTGTCTAGGCTGGGAGGTGGAGATCATGAACAAGCTTTTATTTAAAAAGAAAATTCTTTAACATCAGCAGCTGGCCCAAAGGCCACTGTGTTCCTAGGTTGAGTACTCAATACTAAAAATTGAGTTATGACCATACATTTCTACAGTCTTATTTTAACGTTCTCTGTGTTACCTTCTCGTTCCTACAAATGATCCGAATGACTTAAAAGGGATCTGTTTGCAGGAATGTCTTACAGAACAAGTATGTGGTGCTTCATGTATGCTGAAAACCTCCTGCTTCAAAGTAGTCACTTGATACCTGGGGAATTTCACAGTTCTCAAAGTACCTTCAGGTTCTCTGCCCAAAGCCCCTTACAGTTTTCTCTCTTTTTCATTTTTTATTTTTAAAAAATGGTGGTAGTCCCTTATGTTTGGTTTTTTTTTTGAACTTTCTTTTTTCTCCATGAAAGACTAATGGCAGAAACTGACTACAGGGATACTGCTAAAACTGACATAGGTACTGAACAAAATCACTCACATCTGTATTAATCTTCAAGCTGCTTGATGCCAGGAAAAGAGACATAAATAAGTACGAAGTGCTGTTTAAAAGTTATGTCAGCAAACAGTGATATTCAAATTCATCTTGTCATGGCTAATTTAAATGTAAAGCACTTACCTTTATTCCTTCTCCAGGCTCAGCTTTGTTTCATGTATATACAGGAAGGAAGAAAAAAACCTGAGCGTGTCCCCTCACCCCAACTGCTGTTTATTTTTTAAGTGTGAATTCTGATCATTCAAAGGTAAAAGTAAAGAGATTGAGTAATATGACAATTAACAAGGCAGGGCTACTGTTCATATTCAGATTAAACACAACTACCTTTAAAGTATCTTATATATGTTATTGGAAATATGTTTTTGTTAAGTAGCAATCTGTTATTTTGTTGTAACTGATCTCTTTGTTAACTTGAAAAATTTTTGGTTTAATGCTGTTTGAGAAGATTAAAAAAAGTGTACAGATTGTAAAGAATTTATATAAATTGTAAGATTTCAATGTAATATTTATAATAGAAAAAAATATTAAAACTACACTTCATGCCTCTGAGTTTGTGTCTCAAAGAAATCTAAACATCCTATATTCATCTTTCTTGACCCTGTCATTTGAGACACTTCTGCAGGATTAATCCAGTACCAGAGTCCCCAGTCGAGCTTCACCTTCTGTGAGGTAAGCCTCGGAACACTGCCCGAGACATTTTAGGAAGCTACGTATTTGCAGATTATCCTTTCAGTATTTTACCGGTTGACCCAGTACTGACACTGTTTTGCTACTCACTATTCCAAGTATTCTTTGTTAGCACAATCTCTCACTTTTGTTAAGAATGCTAATTCTGAAAAGATTTCACAGTATGATAACCAAATTTAACCCAGGTTTCTGCAGTGTCTGCTCATGCTGGCTATTACACAGGCAGCATTGTAGCACCCTAAAGGCTTGCTATTCTTTACCTTGTAGTAAACCTCAAAATACCTGATCTCAAAAGATGTTTTTATATGAACATTCATTCATCTTCAGTCATCTGAGAGAGGTGAAGGAAGATGAGGAGTGCAGACTAACTGCTTAAAATGCCATTCCTATTTATATGAGCAAATCTGCTCTATAGTCTTGCACAAACAAAACAAGTTGTGTTTTACTTCTTAATTATAGAAATAGAAAAAAAGAAAACTTCCGAAGTAATTGGAGCATATTGCCTTAGTTTACATAAAGACAAAAGTAATGATCATACAGACCTGTGTAATTTTTGTTGTACTAAGATAAAATTTAACTGAGAGTCCTTAGTAATCCCAGACAATGTAATAGGGATATATTTGTGATATGCCCTATCTGTTGAAATCTTCCTATATTGTTATCTACAGCCTTCTCGATTTTGGTCAAAATTTTTCATTATCATAAAAGGTAAGTTCCATTACTATTGTAAATACCAGCAGGAATTCTTCCTTACAAACACAGGAGGAACATATGATAGTGGATCCAAATCACACTACACAAGTGATACAAATAACTTCAAATACAGTACTTTATTCCTCAGTGTTTACAGCTGTTAACAAAACTGCCTCTCTCAAATCCTGAAAAAAACCCCCTCATCTATTTTTCAATTCTTGATCAAACAAAACTATTCACGTAGATATTCACTAAGTGTGAATAAACACAAAAATGCTCACAAACATATATATGAAAAATCTTTTACTTACAACAGAATTTCTGAAAATACTTTTTTTCAAGATAAACATACATAATTTGGGAACAGATTTAAATCAATTACTTTCATGGTATTATTGCATCTTTTGATAAATTAAAAGCATACATTCTGACAACAGAGGACAGAAAAGAATACCTCTATGAAATGTGGTGGTGCTTACTTCAGTTTTCAACTACTGCATTCATGCTTTGGAATTATTTAAGAAAAAATTAAATGCCCAGATTAAAAAAATCTCCTACGTATTTAAATTTCCATCTTTTACACGGTCTACATAAATATAACTGAAGTATAATACTGAAATAATTTAACTGTTAGAATTACATGTGGACACATAGCTGGTTCACTTGATGGTTTATTTCATCCAGAACTGTCCTGCCTGCTACCAACACCATAAACTGATGAGTGTAAAGCCACCAAGGCATGTCCACACACACAGTTACAAAAGTTCAACTAAACTAGCACAACTTCACATCTTAAGACTGATGAAATCTTTATGCACAGATTAGCTGTCTGATTTTCCTAGCATATTTTCTTGGTGAAGCTAAATGCTTGACTGCTGTTTGAAAATTATCTGTAGCTAAAAATAACACTGGATGAGCAAAAATAATTTTATATTAAGGCTATGGTTGTTAAAAACTACTCTCTCCATTCCTTTGCTGACCAACAGTTAACCTCCAAGGCCAGCAATCTCACTCGGTAAGTCATAAATCTGTGAGCTATTCCAGAGCATTAGGCAAAAACCAAGCTCAAAAGCAAGAAAACCAGTACTATGCTCCCACGTGACCCATGAGGGTCTTTCCATAATGACTGCAGAGACTGACAACAGCTAATGCCAGAAAGGAGTGTAGAAAAAAACCTGGCAAACGAACTATACTGCTAGCAGTTGGGTGAAATTAAGCCCTTATTTCAAGAGTTCACACCCAAGCTAACATGTTCAGCAAGGAAAACTACTGCCCTTTTTTGTTGGGCACCTGCTGGGACCCTAAAGTACAGATAAGGCCACATCTATCACATCACAAGCAGACTATGATCTGAGAGGAAATAAGAGGAGAGAAACTTATGAATTTTATCTGGATTAAAATTTTAAATGAAAAGGTTGTTGGTGGTTAGTTAATAAAATCTGACACAGACTTTTAAAAGAGATAATAATTTGATTTTGAACAGAGCTTTACATACATGCACAAAACTACCTATGAAATAGGACATGATGAACACATTCCTGAAGGTAAAATCACATCTTTAAAGCGTATCAAATATGGACACCGGTAAGAAATTTGTGCAGAAAGAACTCATAACTGTGGAATATAAAACCAAAACCAAATACTAAAGTTCAACCTGCAGTTAAGCCTACATCTACATACTCAAAAGTACTTCCAAGTTTCTGTGCTATGTGATCAAGAGACATCCCCAGGTTATTCAGATGCCTTCCCAAATCTCCCTCTAGTAACCTGACACTGATAAATGCTGTCATGAGTATATACTAGGCATCATCCCCCTGTTCCACCTCTGTACTCAGGACACTGGACAACAGAAACTGTTGTCTTTAACTGATAGCTCTAAATTTAGTTCTTGTCTATATGTATTTACAGCCATAATTTTATGAAAGCCAACTCTTCCTTCTAAAGTAACACTGTGAAGATGGCACTCATATCAAGCAGAGTTTCTTTTAGCTTATCAAACTAATTGGTTGGCAGAGTGAGAAAGAGAAGTCACTGAGGAAGGGCAACTGCTATATGAGATGTTTTATTAGCTAGACAGTTGGTGATTCCCCAACACAGCAGACAGAGGAGGAAAAAAAAAAAAAAAAGGGAAAAAAAAGAAATGGTATGTTCTTTCTCAAGAAGCTCAACTTATCCAACTTTTATGTCTCAAGGCTGATTCAGAAGGAGTATATAAATGAGCTCTTAACAGATACGATGGCTGCGGAAGTTTGCTGCCCAATCTGGTCTTAAAATACTTTTATGAAACACCAATAAAATGGAAAACAGATAAAATGAAAATAGAATCAAAACTCACCCTGACTCTGAATTCATGGTATACACTTTGACCTTCAAATAGTCTCCAATATATTTATGAACACACAAAACAACCTGAATTTACTAGTGTCTGTAGAGTATTAATTCATAATGTTACTTTTATGTGAAGTTCTGGAAAAGTAAGAAACCTAACAATAATTTTGATGAAAGCCTTAAGGATTTTAAAATTTGACATAGAAAAAATTAATTTGTATGTCTCACATGAAAACTAGATGAAGAAAAAAAGCTTGCAAGCAGCATTCTAGAGTCTTTTAAAACTGTTTCCACCTGGTTCTTAGGCCATTTTGTTTTTTCTACACAGCATTTTGGAGCAGGGGAGTGGACATGCAACATGCAATAATTAGAGAGGCCTGAATATTAAATAATGTATTTTTGTTTGTTTAGAAAGGGTTTTATTCAGTTTTCTGAGGCTTATCTTAAATAAAATGACAATAATAAAAAACACCATATGAGCAGTACGAAAAACAAGGACTTTAGCCATCACATTTTAGTATAAAAGTTCTGTTCAGTCAACTAAAAGAATTCAATGACAACATCAGTTGGTCTAATGCAATGATTCATATGGTCATACTTAATTCTAACCTAAACCCAGGTTAATGTATCTAAATTCCTGATATCAGTAAACCCCACCACTATATTTTGCCAGTTACTCTGTTACTATTTACAGTATTTTAGTACCTTCGGTATCCTCCCCCTCCTCTCCCACCATATGGGTCGCCATAGCCTCCCCTGCCACCATAACCTCCCCTGCCACCATAATCTCCCCTGCCACCATAATCTCCCCTGCCACCCTGGAAGCCACCACCACCTCTTCCACCACCTCTGAAACCCCCACCTCCAAAACCACCACCACCTCCTCCTCTACCTCCTCCACCCCCCCAGTTGCCCCTTCCACCACCACCACCACCCCCTCCCCAGCCACCTCTTCCACCACCTTCTTGTCTTTTTTGCCAGGGAGGCATTTCAGGAGGAGGTGGTTCAATCTCTGTTGGTCTGCCTCCACGGTCAGGTACTCTCCCCATCAGAACCTATATTGAAAACCAGATCATTTTTAGTTTAAAAAAATAATAATAGTAACTTGAAGTGACACAGAGTTCTTGTCCTATGAACAAAGACATGCTGCCTGCTCTTTACAGGAAAAATGGTCCCCTCAGTGTGGAGTGTGACAGCAGAATCCCTATTTCCTGTCCTTGTAACTTGCCACAACACAACAGAACTCTGAAAGTGATGCCATCTTCCACCTATAAAATTTAAATAACTGCAGCTAGCTCGCTCATATTACTTTTGTGAAATCTTTATGAAGAAAAACTACATGCATATGAAATATTAGTATTATTATATATAATATATGTGAATATATAAATATATTCATATAGAAAAGACTCCTTATGATGCAGCTCTCCTATTTAAATTTCAAAGTTCAAGTTCAAACCCAATCAACTGGTGAAAAACAAACTGGCAAAAAACAAACTGGCAAACTGATGTGCAACTCTTAAAAGAAATGCCAGTTTGCCTTAGATTAGAGCTGGAATAGACAAAATACATAACATGCTGCAGTAACACTTTCAAGAAAGAAAAAAAAAAAAGGGATCTTGACTTTGGTGTATAGTACTCAGTGTACAAAAAGGGAAACCGTACTGGACAAAGTTACATAAAACATTAAGTTAAAGAATAAAAAGGTATCCAAGTAGGTCTTTTTGTTGTTTTCATATTTCCTAAATTCTGTGTGATGAATGTTAACATACTCTGGTCAGTCCCAGGCACTCCAATTAAAGTCCTCTCAAGAAGAAATAAACTTTCTCTGACATCCTACAATAATTAAGACATTTTAGAAACTTTGGGATCAAAACATTAAAGGACACCTAAATGAAGCACAAAACTTAAAAAAAAACTGTTAAGAAAGGATTAATAAAACCAGGCTTAATCACCATTTGAATGGTAAAACTAATGTCATTATAAGCTTCAGCTTTTATTATACACAAGTACTACAATGTTCATTTATTAATGTAGCCAAACCAATTAGTCTTACTTTGCAGCAAAATGACACTTTCACAGAAACTTCCGTGATTTGTAATATACTGATAAACTAAAGATCCTCATTTACAAACTGAACAGAATAATCCTGGCAACAGGTAGCCCAGGAACTGCAACCAGAAAGACTCACATGTATCCTTAACTTGAGCTGTGCAGTTCCACTGAACCCAGGATGTCATTTTTTACACACGCACACACATACACCCCTCCACCACTCTTCCTTTTCATCTAGACTACTAGACTACTGTTTCATCCTGTTGCATGACTGATTGTGTAATAAGACAAAAAAAAAGTTGCTGCAATGTTTACTGGAATGCTGCAAACCTTCCTTTCTCAAAGCACCAGGTTTCTTACAAAAATGAAAACACTAAGCAAAGAGTATAATTCCAGAATTACTTTTGATAGGTCTGTAAACTCCCATGTCCTTTTATCACATCCCAGAAAGAAAAAGCATACCTTGTTGATTGCACAGACTGTATTTTCCCGTGTTGATCCACTACTTGTTCTTATGATCTTTGATAAATCTTCTCGAGCAGCAAGAAGGTGAGCTAATGTAATAGTTGACTTTGGAGATAATGCATAGCGCTTGGGCTGATAGATTCGTGCTATGTCATCTGTTTTTACCTAGATGATAAAATCAAACACAATTTACTTGCTATGCATAAAAACACACAAATACACTTACCATAAACCATGTACTGGTCTCAGCCAGTTTCAATTTGAACACAGGGTGTAACGTCTGAAAATCTAGGTTATGGTACAAAATATAGTGCCAATTCTCTTCATAGTGATGGAACCATTACAAAAAATGCTGCTATGTTTAATTGATGCTGAAACTTAGCACCATTACAAAGGAAACTTTCCTATCCACTCCCAACAGATTCCTTGATGTTTTCCAGCATATCTAAAGACTAAAATTTAAAAGTCCAAACTGGTATCTCAAGAACTTTACACAGCCATATTTAACAGATCACTTCTAAATGTGATTAAAACAAGAGCAGCTTCAAAGTAAGGCAAATTTGTGGAAAGAAATTAAAATGTATCAATGCAGCAAAACATTTGTGCAAGCCATGAAGAAGTAAAGTAAGACTGAGGAGAACATATGAGTTTTTCCAAACACACTTTGACATCTCATTTGTTTAACAAAAAAGAAAAATACATACACTTTCTAGGAACTTTCTAGGAACTATCTAGAATAATTTGAAAAATTAGATCTTGGGTTGAAACAAACAGGCACTGCTCCTTTACATGACTGTTTTGCTAGGCAATTACTACACCATTTCAGCCTGCAAACTCTTAGAGACTTAATCAAGTTTAAAAAAATAAAATAAAATCAAACCACAAAAAATGCCACACCATCGAAAGCAGAGAAAGGTATCAATACCTATTTAATGGTGGGAAAATGCAAGCTAACAAATAGCTTTTTTAAGGACAACACTTTGCCCCTTAGCTTAAAAAAAAAAAAAAAAATCTAAATTATATCAACACCAAAATATTTTCAAGTCCCAAAACCTTCTTAGAGAAGTTATAAACAAATATTTCTACACCAGAAATAAGGAAAAAAATTTAAAAATTATATGTAATTTTGAATTAATATGTAACCTGGTTATTTCTGTAACTGCATACGATTTCACATAAACGGTCTTATAAGACAGGAAAATTTTATTTTACTACTCTACCATCATTAAAATCTCTTTAAACTAATGTTCTATTGTGAAAGTGTACTCATTGTTTTTCACATTGTTTGAATGGCATAATATCGTGACTTTAAATTTTCATCTGTTTCAAGCATCAGTTAACATCAGCTACATTTTAGAAGTATGCTTTAAATTTGAAAATATATACTTGTATTGGTACAGCTATAAAGGGGTTATACATGTAGGGACATCTGGCTTCTGTGAGCTAAATTCCCTCCTCCTCCTTTCTTGCAGTGTAAAAGCATTCACAACCCCAGCAGAAACTAAATAGTGAGCCTTTGCAAAGCAGCACAGCAGCATCTAGACTCAGTCAGCTTCATGAAACTGATTCTGTCTGCACGTGCCAGTGACAAATTGTGACACCAGAAAGACTTGTAACAATCCATATTTTCAGTAAGATTTTGAAGTTTTAAGACTTACCTATCTTAAGCTTTCTACACAAATCTTTGGAAAGGAAGTTGATCTTCCAGCTCATGAACAAAAACATCTGCTTCCAGCTTCCCACATGTGTATTCACTGAGTTACAAGCTTTTTGTATCTTATCTCCTTACTCTCTTGGATAAAAACAATATATATTTCTAACTTGGAAATATCAGACTGGTTAAATCATTACTATTTTTTAATATACAGACTGCTAGGAAATAGTATGAATTAAACGATCACAATTAAAATGATACCAGCAGAGAAAATCCACTTTGGAATTTTGGAAATCTTAGCCACATGAAGGATTACAGGTAACCATGTGCTTTTCTCATACAAGCTGCTATTCAAATAACCTGTTCAACTGACCATCTGCTCATCAGCTTTGATCCAAGATAGGTAACAGTCACTGTAATCTCACTGACTTTATGGGCAGTCACTGTTTGCACCCAATCTATTTTAAGGCCCAGTGTTTCTTTCATCTTGCATCTGCATGAGAAATACTGACATTCCCTCCTAGTTTACTTGATTGGAGGGGTTGGATATAGGAATACAAAAGGGGAGATGTGAACAGTAATGGAAGTGTATTTACATGGTACATATATTTGATAGGAAGACCTGGGGAATTGTAGCAGACTCCCACCTACAGGAAGCAAAAAATACATCAAGCTTACTTTTGCTCTGTCAGACCAGCCGAAAGACTGTACTGTCACATCTAGCCTCTTCATTAACATGCGTCGGCGACATTCGTACTCACCACGAAGCGCATCATTGATTTTTTCCAATCTTTCCTAGAGTATTACAATAAAAAAATCCAAACATTCAAATCTATAAAGTTACAGAAGTCAATTTAAAGTTAATCCCATTCAACAACTAAAACGTCTATCCTCAGGTAACCACTATAAACCACATAAAATTAGGGGTGCATCTGTATAGTGCTACAGTAGTATGTATATACAAAATGTTGCGATAGTAAGTGGATGAATCAACAAGAAGTCTGTTTTATAACAATTCTGGAAGTATCTGCTTAGCACTGTTAATATTTAGCAATCGAATTTTAGTATTAGTATTTAGTAATAGAACAGTGACTGTAAAATGGACAAAGACAGATGAAGCCATATGCATTAATTCTGACCATACTGTTAAATACAGAAAAGAAATGAAGTGACTTTTTCTTACCACTTGGTCAGAATCCAGAGGTTTTGTTAGCAGTGATTTTCCCACATGGTTATTTTGAACTTTTGAGAGTATGTCCTTTATCTGAAACAAAACACATACTTCTCAGAACACAAATGTTATTTACATTTATTTCAGCACAACTTGCTGCAAACACAGTTTGCTACTCATAAGATCAAATATAGCACATTTAGCAGACTCATAAAAACAGATACACATCTTCTGGCTTATCATCTGTTACAAAAAGATTTCCTAAATACTTTTACTATATGATCAAGCTCAATACAAAAATATTTTATGGGACACCACTTCTCCCCATTATAATAGAACAATATCTATATGGCAAATTTATTAAGTGCATATAGGCAGTAGGACCAGTTAAATAACTCATTTTTCTTATTACTAAGTGCTGTAACTACAACTAAGGAAATGTAACAGTTAGAAGCTAGGACTTCTGTTGCCAAGTTCTAGACTTGGCTACAAAAATCTGGTGATGGGTGCTAGTAAGAAAGGCAGGAGATATAATAGGAATGCAGTCATTCTCACTTTCTAATTTTCTTCTAATCCTGTAATAGTTTCCATTTAAAATTATGTTTAAGACTTTTGCATTCACTTCAAATCAGCCTTGCCTATACTTCTTACATTATTTTTTGCCCTAAATAATCAGAGATGAAGTATGGTCTCTCTTTCTGCCTTCCAAACTCCACTGCATTCTCCTCTCTCATTACAAGAAACCTCTACCTCCTCTTCTTGAAGTAACTTCCTTTGTCACAGGTCTTCTAAAACTGTTATCATAAACACCCACAACACTTGTACAGAACTTTTCGGCCAACTGATTTTTCAGTTGCAGTAGACTGCATGCATGTTACCGTTCCTGCAAGTTTTGCACACAGTCTGATGGGGAGAAGAACAACATCTTCATCATTTGCTTTTGTAAATAATTATGGGGAACTAAGTCAAATAAGACTCAAACCAGAGTTTTCTTTTACATGTCACAAGGAAAGTTTAAAATAGTGCATGACCTACAGTGAAACCTGTAGTTGAGGCAACCATTAGATACATTTGCAAGCATAAGACTTCATGCAGGCACACCAAGCATTTACATTCAATTTATCAGGTATGGTTCAAAGCTCACTCTTCCAGTATTATCTTAGTTCATCTTGCCAGAGTTTTATGCTCTACACATCACAGAAATATCATCTCCAGTGATCACTCTGAAAAAAACCTCTAGGAGACAGAAATAAAATTCTAGAGCACCTACTGAATTGATTAAAGAAAGCTACTTGAAAAGGAGTACTTGATAAATCAATTCTTATATTTCAGGGGTTTTGTAATTATTTCCTATTCCTTTGTTTGCCTGTACCAAGGAAAGACTCTGATCTCAAATTCTGTGTGAAAATCAAGGTGTGTATTTTGTTCTTTCTGCAATATCTTTGGGCAGTGCTATGACAAGTTAAAAAAGACAATTATCCCCAGAAAAAGTCTGAAGTAAAAAAATGCTGTGCAGTAAGCAAATTATGGGAAAACAATTTTGACTCCAGTAGAAAAGACAGCCTAGTAGTATCTGAAAAGTGGCCATCTAGTTACCATAATATTATTCCCTGCTATTATACTCCATCCATATCAAAAAGCAGGTTACAATAAGGGGTGAAGTTCAGTTCCATGTACCTTTATTTTCTTTACAAAAAAGCCCTCCAGGGTTGCCTGATTTGTCTGACTTCTAAATGTAGCCTATTTGTTTTGATTTTAGTGAAGCATGTACATGATGCTTCTCAATCTACTTCAAAATTCAACTGTATCTAAGCACAAACAATGCTTAAACAAATGACTGAAGAATCAAAAACTAAAGTTAATAATCAACAATACAGTAAGATCAGTGTGACAACAAGAGATGAAGAAATTGATAATTAGTATAGAAGAAGGAACAAACAGCAGATGAATGAAAAATTCTATTAGGCAAGAGGTGTCCATTCATATACCATTAAGGTCAGAAATATAGCTTCAAAGGTTTTAATGAGGTGAAGGGAAGAGTTTATCAAAATGAAACTGGCTGCTGGAAAAAAAACAGCACAGCAGAACCAAAACAAGTCCTTAATACAGAGTGAAATAAAACATGGAAATCAGTGATACTGAATACCATCTAGAGATTAGAATTATTGCAAGTTTGCAGCTGCAAGTGCAGCTAAGAGGTAAATACAACACTGGGCTCCACACACAAACACCATACATTCTGCCATCACAAGTCAATCACAATCAAAAGACCTAACCCAGCACTGCATACTCTTGATTTCCATAAACTGAAAAAATGAAGGGACGTTTTGAGAGAACAATTAAGGATGAGAATCAGTAAATTCAGAACTAGAAGAAACAATCCTTTATTGACTAGGAAACTGCCTCCAAATTTCTGCAACCTTTTCTTTCCAAGTTAAAGAGACTATCTATGTGATTTTACCCAGTGATAGGTTTAGTAATCAAGTAATTAAGGAGGAATCTTTTCACCAATTAACTGGTCTACGTTCATGTTTGTGAGACACCGTAGAGTCATACCCAGATTCCTGAATCTCCACTCCATCTCTCCCATCAGCAGGACTCTGAGGACACACCCTACAACTACAATGGTGAAATAAACTGAGCTGCCTACAGCTGCAGCATACACAGTCCAGCCTTGACTGATGACAGGGCTGTGAGCACAAGAGCTTTGATATACACCTGTCTGCCAGAGGACAAGAATACAACTGATGAGAGAGTCTATGCTATAACCCACATTCCTAAACACGGCAGTTGCCCTAGATTAAGAAAGATAAGCAGGAGTTTAAAAAACCCACCACCAAAACCCGGACAGAAGTCTGTATATGTAAGTGGGAACAATACCAAAAGCAGTGCCCAGATAAAAGAGAAGTGAAAACATACTCATAGAAAAGTAAAACAGATTGTAAACAGCCAAATCATCCTGAAGTTCTCACAAACTCAGCTGTAAAAAGAAACCAATTAAAAGCTAGGTGGAGAATATATTTGAATATTCAACATACTGTGTAATCGATGACCTTGGTAACATTAAATATTTATGGGATTGCTTGGGAAGTTCACATACTCTCTAAAAATAGCTTGAAAACAAATCAGTTACTGGATTTGTCTGAGACAAAAATATTGACTTCAAAACCTGCTGTATAAAAACACACAGTTATTCTACTGTTACCAAATAAAGCATATCTTTGTGTGTTGAACATAACATTTCTCATCTGTTTAATGTCTGTACTCCTTTGAAAATTTTTTTAGGTCACACTTCACTAACATATTCCATATATTTATTAATTATCTTTACCCTCTGACAAAATAGAGGCAAGAATTTATATGTTTAATACCATCTGCACAGATAAACATCAAATATGCATACACCTCCAATGTTTCTAATACTTTTATAAAAAAAACTGACCTGGAGAGAGGTGCAATTTTATTAATTTAAATTAAACTATCAACACTTTAAGGAAGGAATATTATCTTAACTAGTCATAAGGTATACTGCACAATTGCAGACAGATCACCTAAATTCTAAAAATATTTTTAACCCAGCCTCTGCCTCTATTCCACTTACCTACAGATCATTTTAATTTCAGTATTTATCTAACTTTAAAGACATTTTTGTTCGACATTTATGTCTGGTGAACAGGACAACTCTTTCGTTTTGTTCCTTGCAACTGCATTGATACTTAATGTACAGGCCCCATTGGGTCTGTAGAATTATCGAACACTTAACAGTTTGAAGCAACACACTAACTTAAACATGAATAAATTCTAGGAAGTATTTCCAAATATGTTTAAAGATACTCATCTCATATTCACTTGAAATGTTATTTTAGCTTAGTTTTGATTTAAATTCTTCTGTTACCCTTTATAATTTCTTTTAATTCTCTAGTATTAGGGGACTATTTTTCACATATTAGAAAACAAATAATGTGGGAAAAAAAAGTTTAGAAGTCTTTCAAATAATATGATATGAAGAAGTCTTTCAAATAAACAGTATTAGAATATCACTTTGTAATTAGATGTAGAATTCACACTACCTTGACTGGAAAAAAGCCAGATGTGAGCATGAGTTACAAAGCACAATGCTGGCATGAACTTTTCTGAATCTGTGACAAATGTTCATTTAGAATTTATGGGATTTTTGGTACTGGATTTCAGAATGCCTCCTAGAGTTACTCTTTGTAAATGTACTTTACAAGGGGATAGAATCTTAAAAAAACAACTAAAAAATTACTATTAGTTTTTCAGTGCTATACAATAAAATAAATTTAGTGATAGGAAGCTGTAATACTGTCAATTTACCTCTCACATTTTCTTATGTTTGTCAGTAGCCACTATCCCAATTTTTACAGGAGATGCAAATTTAAAAGGTACGTCCTATGATTGCATATTCAAAGTTTGAACAAAGAAAGAAATCCTGATTTTATACTAGTCTTTTAAACAAAGTGACAAATTATTAAAAACAACGAATGTTCTAACACTCCATATCAAAATACAATGTGTGATCTGTCCCTTTGGTAGATTGCTGTTGCACAAATTATTCTCAACTATTCCCATAGCTACTGACAATGCTGAAGATGCTAGACAGAGACGAAGAGTAGACATGTTGAAATGCTACAGATATATTTGTAAATTCAATAAAATTACTGGATTAGTATGTAAGTTTCTATTACAAATGATATAGTAGGATGCTAAAAACCAACGATGCCATTTTACACAGAAGCTAATTAAATCAGAAGCAAAAAAATGCATGGAAAAGAAATTGATAATTTCAAATGAATTTTTGTAAGAATCTAAAAAAAGTAACAAATGGCACTCTGAAAAAAAAAAAAAAAAACAAAAAAAACGTTTACAAAGCCAATGAATTCCAACTAGTGGTATCGCTATTCTAACGCAGCTACATCTACAAACATACGTGTCTAACTCTGCACTGTATCAAAATAACTCTGAACTTGTGCTATATTAAAGTAAGGGATGAAGGGTAAGGAAACATATAGTAGAAATTCTAAATCTCCTGATAGGATAAAACCATCTTTGTTTGTAAGGGATGAAACACACTGAGAGCAAATTACACTATTAATTTGGAGTCACAAGATGAACAAACTAGTTTTGCTACCAGTCTATACTCTGAAGTGAGTACAGGTGGTGTAATCACTGTGGAGCTGACAGACCTGAAAACCATCGCAAAATAGCTCAGGCAGTATTACTAAAAAAAAAAATTAAAAGAAGATAACACTAAAGGTTCTGCTTATTTGAGTACTTATGAAACTGTAACAGTTTACATAAACTGTAACACTTAACACTACATACCAATTCAAGCCTGTGAAAGGAAATCCTGGACTTTGCAAAATGTGGCAGATACCAGAAGTCTAATAATTCAAAGAAAACATTCTAGACTCTACTTGTGTGTGAAGGACCTGGCCCACCAGGTCTGGCCTTGCTGTCCTGCAGTTGCAGAACTAAGAGTCCTACCTCTTTAACATGGGATGACATTAAATCTGTACCCAAGAAGTGAATCAAGGAAGAGAGCAAGAAAGGCCACTGCCTGTGGCTGCAGACTACAAACCCACATGGATGTAAGCACAGCTAACACCTGTAGAGGGAAAGCAACAGTACTAGACGTTTTTATCAATTAGCTATTAGCTGGAACTCTGAAATTTAATCCTCAGAAAACAGTGCTAGAATTGTTTCTTCATTCTTTCAAAAATATTTAATATAGATCAAGCACAGTTAATACTGCAGAAATAGGCATTTTCATCTGGATGGTGCTTTTTAAAAATTAATCTATTAAATGTTTCATCTTGTTATACTAAAGATGTACAGATGTAAGAAAACCATGCAAGTAACAGGCCCTCTCCCCAAAACCTCTGCATGTTCAACTGCTCACTGATCTATGACAAAAGGAGGAGGAAGAAGAAAAAAAGAAGTATAATCATGTAATATTATTAAACTCAAAGACTGAGCAGCAGAGGGAAATTAATTCCATACATCTCCCATAATTCTTGAAGGGGATTGGTCACCAACTCTCTCCTCAAATACTAGGGAGAATTAAAGAGCAAAACTTTTAACTGCCTGACAGAGAAGATAAATTCTGCCCCAAGAGCTCACTTACTTTCTGCAGAGAGGAAGTCAGATTAAGGATCACATCAGTGATCCATGAACTAGAAACTGCTGGGACACAACTGAAAGAACTACCCTGTTGAAGAAGGTTTAAGTTGGCTTATTCACAAGCTATTGATAATTCAGGCATTTTCATCCTCTTCTGCAACTAAGGAAATGGCACTAACAAATCAATATTTGCAATTAAGAAATTCATAAACTAAAAAAGCAAAAATTTAGGTTTTGGATATTAAATTTAAATACATCCCAGAAAAGACTACAGGTACGTAAATAAGCAATCAGTTATTACCCAATGTCTTCTGCTTGCTGCAGCAAATTCGAGTGGGTAAAAGGAAAACTATGTTACTTCAACACATATCTTAAATTTCCATGGCAAAGTCTGCCTCATCAGGTACAACGCATCCTCAGGGAAATGCTGTAATACGTCACCTCACAACTAAAACAGTTAAACACTAAACTGGCTTTCAGAATAAAAATTCCTTTGCACTTCTCAGATAGAGCTTTTATGGATTAGACTGTTGGGCTCTTAACTCCAAGATGAATGTTTATAGAGATAATGCTTACAGTTTAACAATACAGAGAACACATAAAAGCCCATACCTTTTGTTCCACATTGGTTAACAAGGGAGGAATATCACAAGATGAGGAATTTGGTAGGCCCAATGCACTGCAAATAGCTTGCACTTCCTGATAAATTTCATCGTGCTTTTCTGAATGAGAGCCTTTAATTTTCTTGCTGTGCAGTATCTTTAAAGCCTGAAGTTCTGTACTTAGAAATACTAGAGAGAAAAGTGTCATAAAGGCAGATTTAAAGATATTTGAATATTTCTGTATTCACAGTCTCATATACAAATACAATATATAAATTTATAATTAGACCATGATAAAAGGGATACTTTCTCAGTTCTCTACTGGACAGTAACAGTTTCCCACACTTTATCAGAACTAACAGCTGACTTCCTATCTTTAGTCTACACTTCATATTTAAACTGTTTAACCCATTTCTGCCATCAGACCCCTAGTTCTTTGGCTAGTTTCATATTATCACACTGGTTCCTGCTGCTACTCCTTTGTCCAAGTCCAGCTTAAACCTAGACTTTGCTTCTCTCAATCCTGCTTTCAGCACCTTCAAATCACAAAGCATTGTCCTTTAGGCTGTGCAGAAAGCCCTCAGTAACATGGGAAGCGAGGTCTCAGTTTCGGCTGAGCTGGAACTAGATCAAGAGAGATCAGGAGGCCTCAGCAGGTCGAACAATACTTCACAAAGACATTTTAGTTTCTATTAAAATAGTTTCCTAATAGTTTTCCGGTTTTGCACTTCTGCACAAGTGAGCTAATGCGTGCTCACCTAGGTTGTAATGATCATACATACATACTTAAATAGACATAAAGAAATTTTTAACGTAAACTGTACAATAATGACAGAGCATGCATGTAAAATACTGTATTATAAATGGGAGAAATGGTCATAACTTACAGAGGAGTTTAAGACAATCTTCCTTCTCTCTTAATCTGCCCTTGATGTCTCCAGATATAAGTGATGAATACGGACAAGCCATTTCTCTCAGAAAGCCACTAATCTCAAGCTGGAAGCTCTCTATATCCTTATCACCTATGGGAATAAATAAATGCAAAGCTAATGAACTTTTACAGAAACATCAAAGTATAATCTAATTTTCTTAACTTCCACATTTCAATTGCAGGTTTCAATAGCCCAGACAAAGATTCACCACTTACCACCTTTGCAACATTTTCTTTCTTCTTAAAGTCCTATATACAATCCTTTTAATAGCTACAGCAATACTGTACTCATGCTTTGCACAAGTTGATGCTACAGCAGTCTTTGAAGACATGAATGCAAATAAACATCACCAGGAAGTGAACAGCTTATGTCACAAAACAGAGTATCAGTGTAAAGACTTTTCTGATGAACAAGTTACAGGAGACACAAGCCATTACTTTCAGTGGTTGTTTTTAAGTTTTACTACTTTTTTTGGGTGAAAACATAAGCAATATGAAATCTCATCCAAGTTCTAGCACTCAACAGAATCAGGTAGTGCTAATGAGCAACTCTCGTATCTACCTACAGTACTGAACACAACACTGCACTGGACCAACCAGCTGAAAATACAAGGCACTGGAATTTAAACCATCAAACTATGGTTACCTATACCAACCACTCATAGGCTCTATAAATGTACTTTTAACATGTAGATCTAAAAAAACCCCAAAAGCACTTTTAAAAAAAAAATAAAAAAAATCTTCACAAGAGCTTAATCTAAGAACCACATACACACAAACATCAACCTGAATTCAGCTACCTTTCAGCTATCTTCTAAACTTCAACACTGTAATTTCACTATTAGCTGAACAACAGGGATCTAATCCACTGAACACATACTAAATTGCTTTAATAAAATAACATTCATATACCATCTGTTGAAGTGATGCTTTCTTCCATATGACAAAGTGACTTTATTTGGGAACCTAACCAAACACAAAGCTCAAAAAATTCTGGTGAAGACAGTCCATTTTCTGCTGCTTTGTTCAGGGCTTCCTCCTCCAACAGGGGACCCGTGTACCTGCACAGAGATAAACGTAAGTGATAAGAAGCATATTTAACATCAACTATACACATTCTTAAATCATTTTACTGTAAGCTGGTTAGTAAGTACACTGGAAGAAATTAATCTCTGTTACTTTTGTCATGGAACAATTCCAACTTTTTTTAACACACCAAAAAATCAGGGGTAATTTATAAACAAAATGCTTTGTTAGAAAATAGGAGGCGGGCCTTTTCACGCTTTCACATACACGTTTGAGTTTCGTGTCTCAATACACGCTAAACAGACAAGAATTCAAGTACTGATTCAAGTGTCTAGTCAAATTACCTTCCAACATTTAACAGCTCACTGCCCTAGAGTGCGGGCAATAAGGTAACTGAATACCAAACTAAATTCTACATAGTTTTTGCTGTTGCCTCTGTAGCACCTTGGCGGGCGGGAGGCAGGCTCGAACGAAGCGGGCAGACAGCCCGGCCGCCCCCCTGGGACTAACCCACCCTCCCTTTAAAACCCTCCGTACCCCAAGGAACGCCCGCGCAGCCGCGCTCCCTTCCTCTTCCCCCCGTTACAACCGGGCAAGCCCAGGGCAGACGCCGTGACCCCGCTGCCGGGCGAGGCAAGGG